GGCTGGAATTCTCCTCGACAGGCTTCTCATCTTTCTTCGATTCATCTTTCTCTCCATCGCCCTCATCTTTCTTCTCTTTCTTTGATTCATCATCTTCTTCATCATCCTCATCGTCATCCGATATACTGATAGGACCTTCCGCTTGGGTCTCCTGTGTGGTAGGCTCAGATCTGTTTATGGAACAAAGAAATTTCCACTACTTTAGTACAAAATGCGACTGAAATAGTTTAATATTAGGGGAAGAAAGGGGGGGGGGGCGCATACATTAAGGCTTGAAACGAAGAGAGAGAACAATTAAAAGGATTTTTTGGCTAAATGCCTTCTTGAGAAGACAATAAGCGAAATAAAAAATTATTTGAATTAAAATCTTTAGTGTCCCCAAATAATTTTTGTCTTAGAGTAGAAAGAAAGAAAAGATCACAATAAAAACGGAAGCAAAACATTTCAAATTAAAACATGCCTCTTCCATTATTCTGTGGTGCGTACATTCATGTTAAGAGATACAAAAAAAAAAGAGAATAGCAATGGAGTAGCTTGAAATAGCTTAACCTAATAAAAATATTTTAGTTCAACTTTAAAAAAAGGGATTCAGAATTATTTGAAGGGAAATATTTTTTTAAAAAGGGGGGGGGTGGGGGGGGGGGAGAGCCTAAAACGTAGAAAGTAAAAGAAATGCTCGTTTCAAAATTTAATTTGACAGATATTGTAGCTGTTAAAACAAATAATGTAACACATGTATGTTAAAACACTGTTGTAAAAAAATAAAATAAATAGTCTATAAACAAATAACTTGTGCAGTAGGATATATTTAAGTGTTTAAACCAGTTGTACCATCCACAAGTCAGTCCATGTATTCTATTTAAATAATTACTTCTTTGTGCTATCCTCGTCAGCTTTCGACTTTTCAGCTTCAGCTTTCGACTTTTCAGCTTTTGACTTTTCAGCTGCAGCTTTTCTCTTTCTCAGGCTCCTGAAAGAATCCAAACAACACAAACAGGTTTGTTTAGTGCCAACCAATGTGAAGCAACACTGGTGTCTAGGGCACACTTCAAAGCAATCCAAACAACACAAACAGGTTTGTTTAGTGCCAACCAATGTGTAGCAACACTGGTGTCTAGGGCACACTTCAAAGTGATCCAAACAACACAAACAGGTTTGTTTAGGGCCAACCAATGTGTAGCATCACTGGTGTCTAGGGCACACTTCAAAGTGATTCATTCATGTGGTTCTTGGAAACAACACACTTCTTTCTTTATTAGCCTACTATAACTACAACACATCAGCTAGCTACAAAAGACTTTGAGACACTCTCTCTAGTTGGGTGTGCCTGGTCCAAGTGTTACACATGATGAACTGCATTTTTGTCAATGATTTGGAGGAGTTTAAAAAAAATAAAATTACTTAATTGTTTAAATTAATTTTTTTCTTAAAACTGATATGTTAAAATTTGTTCCCATCGTTTTAAGACGGAGCATTTTTGGACTATCGGTGCCAGGACGACAAGCTCTGCACTTACTTAAAAAAAAATAAAAATAAAATATGAACTAATTAGAAATATAAAACTATGTATATACTTGTAGGGTAAAGAATGAACTATTATGATCCTTATGAATAAAATTGAAATCTTAACATTTATGCAAATGAGACACCCTGATTTGCATAATTTATGTATGCAATTTATTATTTTTACACTTAGAATAAACAAGTATTCCATCCATCCCTGTGGCGCTACAGGCCATGTAGAGACATAACATGCCTCCCCACTTCCTTCAATTCAGACCTAACTAATGCTTTTCTTTTCCATGCTTTGATTCCAAGCTGCTGTAGATCTTTGTCCACATGATCCCTCTAAGCCTAGGTCTGTCTTTTATCTGTTTTCTCTGGGGTTTTGGTCATGTACCCTCTGTTATTGAGAATTCTTTCTAAGTTTCCTGCCCAGAGTAGCCTACCCTTTTTTTTATTTCTGCTACTATCAAGGGATCATGATATAGACCATACAATTCCTAGTTGGTTCATATTGTCTATTCATATTCATCCTTTGTTGTTCCATATATTTTCTGAATAATTTTTCTCTCCCATGTGCTTACTAGGGTTTCTGCTGTTTTTGTTAGGGTCCAAGTTTCACTTGCATATGTTACCACTGGTCTGAATACTGTTTTATAAATAGTTTTATTGGTTTTTCTTGTAATTTTTTTACTCTTGAGTATTTTCTAACAACTGAAATATGCCATGTTTCCAGCCAATATTCTTTCTTTTATTTCTGTTAGTAATTCGTTTCTTTATGTTAATTTTTCAGGTAAGTCCTAAAAAAAACAACATTTGATTGTGATTCAATGTGAAAACTGCATAAAATATTCCACTGGGGATGCCTATGTCTTTTTTGTATATTTGAAGTTCACATATTTGTTAAGCATTCATAGGGGTCACTGGTACAAAAAAAAAAAAATTGCTATAAAACGACAGAACACCGTAATCTATCAATGCAAGCCACAATTAACATGGTGAGATGGGCAATAAATGCGAGAAACAATCTGATTAGCTGGTACAAAGACCAGCCAGCCAATCTTGACACTTTATTGTGCTGATGGATCAGTCTTTTGGCCCAGCCTTCTGAAGAGGATTTAAGCATTTGACCAAAAAATTGTACTTATTTAAAGCACTTAATAAAAATCAAGAAAACTAAACCAGCTGGATGATGTATTGCCTAGCCAAAACAATGTTATTCATCACAATACTTTTACAAAATAAAAATAAGTGTAACAACCACTAAGGTATTCAAGCCATGCTAAGTTAACACGATCTCCATCTTACCTTTGATTGGCACTGTCTGGTGGGCTGCCCTCTTGCATGTAGTCACTGGAAACAATACATTATACAAAAATGGTAGAAATAAATATACAAAAACCTACAATTAATGAGTTTATTAACACATCCACAAAATGTTACAAATAAACGAATTTATAAACAAATATAGGAAGTGGTATTTTTTTAATATGGATAGTTTTAAGTTTACTTAGTATGTTCATTGGCAGTGCAAAAAGTCTTTTAAAAAATGGAATTTATCGTATCATGCTTGACCCTACTGGCTAACACAGACAGATGTTTCTATGAAATCAGATGTCTAACAAACACTACAAATCTGCTTGACATTCCAAATGCATAATATTAAAAGCCTCCAGCTACAAGAAAACCTCCATCAACGAATTGAAACCCGTAACACAAGTTATATATTCATAAAAATCATATCAATAAATGCCCCACTGCCCGTTGATGTATCAGAAGATGTAAAAACTTAATTCTGCAGTTATAAGATCTCTGAGAAACACTGGAAGCACAGCTCATGTATTCGCCTGCTTACCTCTTGTTTTTTTTTTTAAAGCCATAACCTCCAAGCCCCTCGCCAAAGTGAGAAACAGACAATGCCAAATACTCTCACAGGGGCGGTAAAACAAGAAAGAAACAACAACAAAGCCGTGAGAAAACTCTTAAAAGCCAAATGTAAAAAAAAAAACCGGCTTATCTGAAAAAGACATTTTTTAAATACCTGTCGTCCTCAGAGTCTTTGGAAGCCTTGTAATTAACATCGGTCTCGTCATCAGAGAAGTCTAAATTATCGATGTCACTTTCGTAGCCCTCCTTCTGTCGTTCCACCACTTCAATAAAGTCCAATTCAGCCAGGTACTCATCACCGTACTGTTTACCATCCTGAAGGTCGATATAATGGAAATATTCTAAACATTATACAAATAGTAAGTGCTTAAATCTTTATCTAAACATCATTACAAATCTGAAGTGTATAGAATCTTCATTTAAACATTATACAAACCTTAAAATGTTTGAAATCTATCTTCTACCACTGATTCCACATTTAAATTGAAGTTTTAGATTTTTGCATGTGTGCTGCACATATTTTTTAAATAGCACAAGCCCTCAGAATCATTAAACAAAACTAATTATTTAGGTAGATTTGTGCTGCAGTAGAAGTTAGGGTTGTTCATGTTTAATTTTTAAAAGAAATTTATTACAGTAAAAAAAAAAAAAATTGATCCAACGCGCCATTACCTCGTTAGCACCCTTGTCAGTAAGCAGCTGGCCTGCATATATACATATAAAACTTCCCTTGGCAATGTCATCCAGACAGCGTAGACCCCAACCTCTGACAAGAGAAGACAACATGTTGTGGGATGAGACCTTTATACTTTATATATATCTTAAAGTCTAACAATATCTTAAATCCAAAAAAAGCGTTTTTAAAGGACAGTTAGAGCCAGTCACAGAACCACTGTGTCTTTAAAATTAGAAACAGATAGACTGCACATCCTCAAATCCCCCCATACCCCAGAAAAGAAATCCGATTGCCCCAGCTAAATTTAGTTTAAGACTGTAAATAAAAATGTTTCAAATCTTGTGCAAAAAGACCCACACCCCCCAACTGTGTATATTTTTGGTCACAGAGGATGCTCGAAAAATTAAAAATACTGTAAAAGTACAGAGTGGATCAAAAAGTTGCTTGTACTTTAACCAAAACAACAATGATATTTTGCTACATTTAAACAAGGCTTTAAATAAGGTGCAGTTTGGTTTCCTCACATAAACTTACTTTTTTTCTGTCTTGAAGACTTGTAACCGTGTCCTCAAACCAAGCTGGGCAACTCTGTTGACACAACGTTTGTCACATTTGCATCTAGAATTGCATTCAACAATACTGTTGAGCACATGAAAAAAGAAAATGTTAAACAGAACAACCAAGGTAAACAATAATTAAATAATACACTTTATGTGCTGTCCTTGGTGAAGTTTTATCTCCCCTGTATGTAATTCTTGACCATTTTAAAATCATTTTGACAATGTTAAAAACATAGCAGAGATTTATATATTTATTTATTTATTTACTAAAAATGAACCTTCGAAATGAGGGGAAAAGATTATTTTCATCAAACTTTTAAAGATAAGATAAGATTCTTTTATTGATCCAAATAAATGGAAATTTTTTTTTTACAACAATTTACTTATTCATTTTATAAATACATATTTTAACCAAAAAACATTTTACAATTTTGACTGGTATATTTATTGTATGCAAGTAATACACCAGATAGAATTTATATGGAAAATAAAATAATAAGATTTTTTATGTTTTTGATGCCATTAAATACATATTTTAACCAAAAAACATTTTACAATTTTGACTGGTATATTTATTGTATGCAAGTAATACACCAGATAGAATTTATATGGAAAATAAAATAATAAGATTTTTTATGTTTTTGATGCCATATGGTATAAACAAAATTCACTTTTTACATAGCTGCAATGTCTTTTTCGCCTATTTGGTTTTTTAATTTCACCCACTTTCTTTCTGTTTTTCAGAGCTTTGTCTTCGATATTCTGATTCTTTTTTTTCATTTTTAGGTAGGATACATATAAATATATATATTATGTAAATTTAATTTATACTTATATCAATGTTATTTTTTGTTGTTTTACTGATGAAGGCATTACTTGAAATATTTGCATTCTGTGTAACTATTACTAAAGCTTAAATATATTGTTTTATTTACACAAATTTTTTGTGTCTCATTAATCTACTTGAAAGCTTTCTCAGTCTTACAATTTAAACACAAGACATCTCAAGTATTTCTCGAGCAAAAAAATCAGCCATCAATGAACTCCCTTAGAGATAATAAAGACTTAATTCATGTATTCGCCTGCTTACCTCTTGTTTTTTTTTTTTAAAGCCATAACCTCCAAGCCCCTCGCCAAAGTGAGAAACAGACAATGCCAAATACTCTCACAGGGGCGGTAAAACAAGAAAGAAACAACATAACTGTGAGACAACTCTTAAAAGCCAAATGTAAAAAAAAAACGGCTTATCTGAAAAAGACTTTTTTAAATACCTGTCGTCCTCAGAGTCTTTGGAAGCCTTGTAATTAACATCGGTCTCGTCATCAGAGAAGTCTAAATTATCGATGTCACTTTCGTAGCCCTCCTTCTGTCGTTCCACCACTTCAATAAAGTCCAATTCAGCCAGGTACTCATCACCGTACTGTTTACCATCCTGAAGGTCGATATAATGGAAATATTCTAAACATTATACAAATAGTAAGTGCTTAAATCTTTATCTAAACATCATTACAAATCTGAAGTGTATAGAATCTTCATTTAAACATTATACAAACCTTAAAATGTTTGAAATCTATCTTCTACCACTGATTCCACATTTAAATTGAAGTTTTAGATTTTTGCATGTGTGCTGCACATATTTTTTAAATAGCACAAGCCCTCAGAATCATTAAACAAAACTAATTATTTAGGTAGATTTGTGCTGCAGTAGAAGTTAGGGTTGTTCATGTTTAATTTTTAAAAGAAATTTATTACAGTAAAAAAAAAATTTGATCCAACGCGCCATTACCTCGTTAGCACCCTTGTCAGTAAGCAGCTGGCCTGCATATATACATATAAAACTTCCCTTGGCAATGTCATCCAGACAGCGTAGACCCCAACCTCTGACAAGAGAAGACAACATGTTGTGGGATGAGACCTTTATACTTTATATATATCTTAAAGTCTAACAATATCTTAAATCCAAAAAAGCGTTTTTAAAGGACAGTAAGAGCCAGTCACAGAACCACTGTGTCTTTAAAATTAGAAACAGATAGACTGCACATCCTCAAATCCCCCCATACCCCAGAAAAGAAATCCGATTGCCCCAGCTAAATTTAGTTTAAGACTGTAAATAAAAATGTTTCAAATCTTGTGCAAAAAGACCCACACCCCCCAACTGTGTATATTTTTGGTCACAGAGGATGCTTGAAAAATTAAAAATACTGTAAAAGTACAGAGTGGATCAAAAAGTTGCTTGTACTTTAACCAAAACAACAATGATATTTTGCTACATTTAAACAAGG